TTTGCAGAGACAACCAACAAGACGCTCACGCACACATACACATACAATCGTCCACAAACACACACACACACATACAATCGTCCACAAACACACACGCACGCATGCATACGCACGCACGCGCACACGCACGTGTACACATGGACACAACACATCTCGCCCACCGTCTCAGTGTTGTTCTGGTACTTGACACGGAAGAAGCTTTCGCCGGCGCAGCAGCTGCGTGTGCACGCCTGCCCACAGCCCCCGCCGAGGTGCACGTCTGGCTTGAGGCCGGATGACATGTGCACCATGGTGCCCTGAGCGACAAAGGGGGGATGGGGAGCAGGTAGGTTGAAGGCGAGTCGCAGTGGTGCAATGTGAGTGGGTTCAGGTGTATGCACGGTACTAAGCTCACGCATCGTGGCATGAATGTATCAAGCGCAAACGCACGGGTTCGGCGGTGACGGCGTCGTTGGGGTTGAGGACAACTTCAAGGATCTGGGAGCCATCCCCGACAATCTGCATGTGTACATGCGTGTGTGTGTGTGTGTGTACATGCGTGTGTGTGTGTGTGTGTGTGTGTGTGTGTGCGTTTGTGTGTGCGTTTGTGTGTGTGTGTGTGTACGTGTATGTGTGTGTGCGCGCGCGTCTCCATTACACTGGCAGAAATCGAACACTGGTGGGCGGCGCACAAGTGGCCTTCCCGACATACCTGCCACTGAAGCTCATTGTGGTACTCCGGTGTCTTGAGTTCCATCTGAGAGAGGTTGACAACACAAGCAAAGCAGGGGGCGTGTCAACATTGTCATCTGTGAGTTTGAAAGGATGGATCAGGGAGTCCATCAACAGCACGAGTGCACTGCCACCTGTCATATTTTCACTTCGTCAGTCCCACACCAGCTTGCACCATCATCTTGTGCATGCTGATCCATAACTTACGAGACCTGCCCCAGCGAGCGGGCACCCCGGCTGTGCCGGCTTGAACATATCCGATGACATGGTGGAGGGGATGGTCGGCAAGGAAGGTGGTGGGACGATGAGCGGGCGTGGGCGTGGCGAAAGTGGACATTTCTTGAAAGTCTTTGGTGATAAAAGGATAAAGGATCGCTACGGCGAGTACGACAAGGCCATCATGTTATCGATGGCTGAAGAAAGTGTGGGTGTTGCCTTGTTGCCTAGTAGTGGCATCAAGGATCATGGGGTTGGATGCACTGAGACTGTTAAACAACGACAGGACGACCTTCGGCATCCTTCAGCAGTATGGCGCTGCCTTTCAACCAGCTCCTGTTCCTCCTCAAAGTCCTCATCCCGGGAGTTGTTGAAGTCATCGACGGAAATGTCCAGTTTCAGCGCGGCCTTAAGCGAGGGCAACATCACCAAGGTTTTCAGCTTGAGGCGCTCCAGTTCCATCTCCCATCTCCAGCAGGAGCACAAACAGTTCCAGCAGGACGAACCCCATCAAGCCGAGGACCAGGCTGATGGTGGCCACCGTGCCTGGCGACAGCTTTGCTCCGATCCGGATACCCAAACTGCACTCACTGGGGCCGACCGGCTCCAGTGTGCTTGTTGTGCCATTGGCCAAGATGAAGTCGCTGCAGCCAACCTCGCGCAGGAAATCGGGACTGAGGCTTGAGCTAAACGCTGGACCGGGGAACACCATCTCGCCCTCCGCCGTCCACGACGGCGTGTACTCGTTGTCGTTGGTGGTCCAGGCGTGAAGTCGAGCACAGAAAACCACAAACTCAAACAGGAAGAAGATGAGGAAATGCACAATGGGCGCAACGAAGCGCACGCGACGTGCCGAGCGCGGGCGATGCAAGCAGCACTTCAGGACGAACCA